CTTCACGAATTTGCGTGTCATCCTTGCGCAGGGGCCATGCTAATCTTCTCTGTATCGTTCCAATTTTAGTATATGTGCTGCCGAAGCGAGCACAATTCATCCATCTGCGCGGGTGGTATTTATAGCAGGGCACATGAGATATGAGCTCCAGTCATGGTGGCAGCTGTAGCTAAGAAATCATGATTATTCTTACACATCAACATGCATCATCAGTATTATGTTTAAACAAGTCTATCTTAAGCAGGCCACAATTTAGAGACTGTTCTCCCCATTCAGAACCTTTTAAAAAACTTTCTTTCACGGAGGCAGCAGAGAACTCTGGGAGATGTCTGTGCAGCAGAGACTGACAGCCATTGACCGTCCAATGGCAAGGGAGCCTGTGGAGAAGGTGGGACTTCTCTGCAGTATTCAGGCCAAGCCCTGAGAAAGGAGGGGGAGGAGTTTGACCTTCCAGACAAAGGCACTCGGAGCAACTCGCTGTTGCTCACATGTTCATTTCTGATGGATCAGAAATGAACAATTTTTGGATAATCAGGACACACCTCCACAGAAATTAACCATAAAGTGCAATTACCAATTGACACTGCGATTCATTACATGTCTCCTCACATGCCATGTTCAGAGGGTCATATTAAAAATAGGTACAGTGAAATATCTTGTACTTCAGGATTGAGAGTTACATTGTCTCCGTCAGAAGTGAGACGTTTTTGTAAGGCAAGGCCACAGCAATAGCAGAATGTGCAATCGCCATTTGCCACTGTATTTGTAGCCAGGTGTGTTGAGCCATGGTTATATGATGTAATCTTTTATTTTATTTTATGTTATTTTATTGTGAACTTCCCCAAAATTAGTCCTGTTTTGATGTATGTAGTTGGCTTTGCAACATACCTTGGGATTTGTTGTTGGTGGGGCGCCAATTAAGGTGCACCCTGGGCGTCACGTTTTTCTGGCGATGCCTCAGACGCATTGTGGACACCAGTTGGGTAAGACGCACGTTACAGTCTTTCTTCAACGAACTTATGCAACTTTATTTTAATCAGTTTATTTTCTGGTTTAAACTATTACTAGTATGGTGTAATATATTGGCGACCATGTGATAAAGACTGCGCCGCATATCATGTTTTTTGATTAATTAGGAAGTTAGGATGTCTGATCTGTAGGGCCTGTTGTGATATAACGGACCGCAATGGAGTGTAGTGTGGTGCTAGCTACACATGGTCATGCAGGTTAGCATGCGAGCGCTATTTTTATTATATATTATTTCTGTAAATATTACAGTTGTGTGCCAAATTAATCACGGTAATGCATAAAGGTAATGCTTAATGCATTACACGGTGTTTAACCACGTTACATTTTGCTAAGCAGGAGAGAGACATTTAGCGTGCGCAACGCCAATGTGTTGTATGTTCTATAAGGTATGTCGTCCATTTTGTAATAATTTATTTCTTTCTTATTTAGTATTTTAGGTGTCGATTTTACTAACCAAATGTAAACATACAACACTGGAAAAGTTGCATTGTATAATAAAATAACAGATATTGGCTTAAATGGTGGAGAGTACGTATAACGTGATGAACACCTCCTGTGGTGTGAAGCAGTCAGCAGTCCAGTGGCTCTGTGGCTGGAAGGTTGCCGGTTAGTATCCCGAAGCCGGCAGAGGAATCCTACTTTGTTGGGCCCCTGAGCAAGGCCCTTAACCCCAACTGCTCCAGGGGCACCATATAAATGGCTGACCCTGCGCACTGATCCCAAGCTTCTCTCCCTGTCTGTGTGGCTCATGGAGAGCAAGGTGGGATATGAAAAAAAAATCCTACTACAAGAAGCTGTATAGCACCCATTTTTCATGCCTTGAATGTAGTTAACTAAACTAATTTTTACAGCTTTTAAAGTCACGTAATGTCCAAGTTAAGCAGGGACACATCATTGTTTCTTTTTTTTAAGTAATCAGTTGCCCAGCATGAAATAAAGACAATACGACAACATGCGTACCATATGTGCAGTAAGATGACCCACAAAGTGCGAAGCGAAACACTTGAAAGTTGTGCATGTTTTCTGACTTGGTGAAGCATGTAAGCTGTAAAACAAGGCACCTATACCAAGTCATACAGTGAAAATGAAAGAAATCGCAGTCCTAAGAAATAAATCAACTCAATTTACAAGGGCTGTATAGGCCACTAGCTCTCCACTAGGCGGGCCTGACCAATGTGTCAGAGAATACGTTTTTGCAATATTTTCCCAAAGCCAACTGTATATAAAACTGAGAGTCTACTGTAAATCTTTGCACTTGAACTTGTTCACGAATTACCCTTAAAAAAAGGCAAGAAGTAACTCCAATGACCATTAAAACAGTCAAACAATCCTTATTTCTCGTTTCAAGTTCAGTTTCCCTTTTTGCCCAAACGTCAACTGTCAGGCAAACGTCTGGGTTCAACCGCCCTGCGTTAAGTTTTTGTACTTTCCTCCACTTCCGCCTCAAGTGTTGGATTCACGGGGAACCATTTTAACAAGCAGACCCGAAATAAAAAAAA